GGGGGGGGAGGAGGGGGGGACAGGCGGTGGTCGCGGCTCGTGCCCACCGCACCGAGGCTCCAGTACGGCCTCAGTTCAGTCCCCCGGCTCTGGCAGCGCAGCAGTAGACAGAGGCAGCGCAGCAGCAGGGCCTGCCCAACACAGATCGCAGCACACCGAGCGCGCCGAGCCGAGCGCGCCGACCCCTCGTCCCGTCTCTTCCCACGCTCCGGTGCGTCCCGCGTCCCGTTCCCCGCGTCCTGGCCCGGCCGGGCCGCAGCGCAGCGCCCCCCGCGGCCCGTCTGGTCCCCGTCCAGTCGGCGGACAACTCGCGGAGGTGCTGGAGCAGGTACTCGCACGAGCGTCGCGCAGCCTGACATGGTGTTAACGCCGTCACCACTGCCCGGGACCCGAGTCCAAGCCAAGAACATTGCTATTTAGGAGGCCCCGGTGTCGATTCGAAGTTACTGCGAGGTTACAAGAGCTACAAGGACAGCCGCAGGTGAATAGGAACACTATCCAGAATCAGGTGGGTGCTGAAGGAGCGCAGGTCACTCTGCTGGTGTGAGGTGCGGGATGGTGGGCCGGCGTCTGCCTAAGGAACGCAAACGCAAAACAAGTTTGGCACCTCGTGTGAGGTCTGTTATTTGTCGTTGTTTTTTCTTTTTTTTTTTTCTTTCTTTCTCAATGAAATGCGTGGGAACTTATTAAGGGCCGTGAGGGAAGGTTACAGCTGGAGTCAAGGGCGAAGTTAAAGGTCAGACACTGCATCTCTAATGGAAACCTCCCCCAAGCTAACCAGGGGGGGGGGGGATTTGCTCTTTGTATTATTTCGGAGGGAGTGACGATCCGCTGGGAGCTTGTCGGACGTACGGTGGGTGGATTGATAGCGTCGAGCAATAATAACCGTTATGTTTGGAGTTGCGCGAACGCGCGGAATTCAAACAAATTTGACCTTACACTGTGAAAAATATCGTAGTAAATTTACAAAAAAAATTGTCAACTCGAATTATTATTTAAGTTGTAAATTTACTAGAGCACATTTTTTGCTCGCCAATGCATTTCAAGTCGATATTTACTGCATGTATTTTTACCATTACAAATTGTAATTTTACAACTTGTGTCAAGGAAAATTTTCCTGTAAACATACCTACTATTTTTCACAGTGTATATTTCAGATCGAACACCCCAATGAGAACATGTTTGGTCACTTTGTCGTTTTGATGTCTTCGACGTTTAAGGTGACATCCCGCGAACCAAAATTTTGACTACTTCACGTCATTTTGATGTGCCTGTGACTATCCTGCCTCCTAGGGACTGATCGATTGCCGGCTATTATTTGTTCGTTGACACCTACCATACCGACGCATGCTTAAACTGCCTAAAAAGTCCCAAAACAAAACATCTGTCACTGTGAAATTGTAAAGACAGCATTGAACTCGGAAATGTGAGAATCTGTTTCCGTCCTTCGGTATACAACGCTGTATATATATATATATAACAATTTTGAGAAGAGTACAGGCCTCGAATAAATCTTTCTCACCGTAAACCTATACGGTACAAGAAGATAGAGAGTGTTCTCAATTTAAAACAGAGTTTTAAAACCTTTGATGTATACAAAAACAAAATTATCCTTTCCTATTTATGAATATTAGGTTGCTGGCCCTCCTGAATAGAAAGAACAGGGTGGGCGCAGGGCGGGGCGGCGCAGGGTCGTGGGGCGACACTGCTTGCGCCACATCCTCATTAAGCCCGGTGCACCGGTGCCCTTAGTCCGCCGGCAGTTCCTCCGCGCAGCACGTTCATGGCCACCTGTTTCTCCACGGAGCTCTGGCAGAGCACAAAAGCAACGCCTCTGTTCTTCTTTTCTTTTCAAAGCGAATTGATAGGAACGAACTGCAAAAAAATACCCAAAAGTGCAACACTATCGATCCGCTAGTAAAAGAGAAGAAGACAAAAAAGAGCAAATACCTTCGTAGTAAATAATGAGCAGCGAAAATGGGCGTTTCTCTCCATTTTCCGTCTCGCTGCATCGCGCCCCGCGGAAACAAGCTACAAACACTTCTCCTCGCCTCGCCATAAGGAAAGGGGAGGAAAGTGGTATCGAAAGCGAGGACGATGCAATGATTGGCTGGGCCGCCAGCTCACCTGTGATTGGGCCTGTCACGCTCGGGCGCCGGCCGACGGCGACGCGACGCTGGCGCGACTGTCTTTCTTTTTCGCGAGATCACCACGCCGCGTGCACCTCCAGAGTAAACAAGCAGGCCCGCCCCTCTACGGATTCAGAACTTGCAGTTTTGGACGGTACCTCCTCTGTCATTTTTCGATTAGAGGCCTTTCTTGTACGTCTTATGTACAGCGTTGTCCTTTTTTGGGGAATTTTCGTCCAAAAAGCACCTCCAGCGCCCAAACGGTGAGAGAGGGAGCCAAACGGACAAAATTTGAGTGCGAAGGCTTCTACTTTCACGTTTTACCCCTTTTTTTACCCCTTAGGAGAGCACTTTTAAAAATATCTAACTTTTTGACCTTCCTCTTTCTTTTTGATACCCCTTTCAACTCCTTAAGGACGGTTGCCAGGATTTGCCGTATGCGTTTCATTTTCTAGGAGTGAACCGATACCCTGTACCCTGAAAATTTGAAGTCTTTATTGAAGACTTCGGTATAGACTTCACCACTAAACCATTTTTCAGGGACAATGGTCGTTAATTGTTTCTTGGCCCGTGCCGCGGCCTCCCGCTAGGGAAAGGCTGTCAGCAGGGGGCAGAGCATTATGCCAGTGTTGCAGTTTGTTATCAGCAAACGGCTAACAATTCGTGTCCACCTCGCTTGACGGCCCCCAGCCCACACGGGAGGTCAAGGAGCGGGTTGTTGTGGGGGCCTTGACCTAAGTAAAGTAGTGTTGCTGCTGGCCCTACTTTTCGGGGATTGTCTGCTTTGTACAATGCCACCGGCCCCTGCAGGGCGCTATTTGTAGAGCCTGAGCTCCACGTGTTCGTTCCCACACGTGTCTGAGGCCCGGCGCCGGACAGAACGGGGAGTCTCGCCCATGAAGATCGTTGTCCTCAACTCACTTCTCACGCTTTGTCTTCGACCTTTTTAGACAGTCCCTAGTGCTGTCTCTACCCGAAGGTAAAAGTTTCCTATTTTGACAAATATTGCCGGTTCTCGTTTTCCAGTTTTGATAAAGATCGTCGATTGACATGCCAGATCCAGTTTGGATAAACCGATTGACGTTGATAAAGATCTGTTTGACTATAATATTATATCTTGGGAGGCTGTGGGGGAAGGCTTTCCGTTTGGTCTCCGTCGGCCTTTTTGTGTTTTACTCGTTCTTTACCTCCACTCTCACTTCCCTCTTGGAGGTGGGAGAACGAGTATGGTGCTTGGTCTGGTGTAAATAGACCCCCGATTCATCTCCGTAACCACAACACCTACATTCATGAGAATAGTACCAAAATGTAGGTTTCGGTCCCCTAACCAGTCAATAATAGAGGTGTTTTTCGAGTTATTGCGCAAAATTTAAAGAAATTTCAGAAATGAAGCCGAGTAAATCGGCCGGCGAGCGTCCGCCGTGGGGCGGTTTTTCTACACGAAAAAAAATCGCAACAACGCGGACTTTAACCTAAAATTTTTTTTAGGAACAACTGTAAATGTCATTGTTAATGATTTCCTGACTAAAAATAACCGTTTTACCCCATTTTATTGTATTGATAGTGTGTATAAACTCTAAGTTGGGAAAAGATTCTAAGTCGACGAGGTTAATCATGCACATGCGTGAAAAACGCCATCTATATTGACTAAAGAGGGAACTACTGCGGCCCAGCCGCAGTTCTACTTCAGCTCCAATAGAGCGCAGCACAATTTGTGGCAGGTGTTTTGTTCTGTTTGAATTCCTCGATAGAGGCCAGGCCAGATCTAAACTACACCATAGCAAGCATATGTAAAGAACGAGATTGATATCAAACATCTCTGATGATCTGTCTTTCTTCTTGTATTTTCTTCTCGTTGTTTCTCGACGACGGGGAAATCACTTGCGAAATAGTTCCTACACCTTCCCCCGAAATAAAGGCGAAATGAAGGCGAAATACAGCGAAACAGACCCGAAATAGACGCGAAATAGTCGGTAAAATAGTCGCGAAATACCTCCGAAATACTGTGAAATACCGCGAAATACCCTGAAATAATCAGAAATAGGCGAGAAATATACGAAATGGCAGGAGAAATACCACGAAATAATCCGTACGCTACGCCCCCAAGTGATTTCCCCCTCGTTTCTCGACAACTTGAAAAAATTCTCCCCTTAAACATCGAGCAATAATCTTTAATTCTCAAAGGATTTTCGCCGAATAGTCTTTTGGCTTCGGCTGTCCTCTACTCTTCCTCGGCTCGGAGAGTAAGCATAGGCGGCGCAGTGCGTGGCGGGGCGGGGCGGGGTGGGCACGTGGCGGGGCAGATGTGTCGTGCCGATGCGACACGCTCGGTGCGGTGTGATGATGGCCGTGATGATTCATTCGGGGGCTCCCGGCACGAGCCAAGCACGGGGCCCTCACGGAGACACAAGGGGACTGGCCTTCTGGGCTGGGTCAATGCCTTATGGTGAGGTGAGGACCGCGACAGCAACCTCACAACAAAGCGCTCTGCTGCAGCCGGGGGGGGGGGGGGGCAGTCTGTAGTGGTCCCACAGACACCCCTTTCACACTCACGTGTGGCGCTTCACATGATTCGGCCCGTTTGGCACGCTATTGTGCTAGGAAGAGAGGCGTCTATTAGCCCCCCCCCCCTTTTTCCTCTCATTTTGCCCTCTTTTGGGCTCTATCCCATCCCTCCTACTAACGCCCGCAACTTTACAGAGTTTACCGCAAGAAAGAGGAGGGGAAGCGGACGAACTGACAGAGGCGCGAGCGATAAACGTCTTCGGGGCAGTAACGGTAAAGTTCACAAAAGTAATCGTCGTCCTGCCCGTCAGGCCCCGCTGCTCACGACCGCTTCTTCTTCGGGTCCGCCTGTTTCTCAAGCATCGACGAAATCCCAATCGTTCATCATTACGCGTGAAATCAGACCGCTAAAAGACGTGCATAAATCGGTACAAAAGATCTTCTTTGAAAGAAGACGGGGTAGGTTTTATTATACACGCTCTAAAGTTACGAGTTACGTGAGAGATTCCGCCACTCGACACGCGTTGGAAAACAAAAGTGCATGTGCAGAAAAAAATGCAGCCGTAATTAAATGCTTGATAACTAGCAGCCACGGCGAGAGCCACGGTGACACCACCAACAAGCTCACATGCCAAGAAAAAACGAATCGGTCAGGTCAGAGATGGTTCAGAATGCTGTTGCACCTTTAAAAACGTCTACAATATTTTTAATTTCTCCTGAGAAATTGAATTTATAGTATTTTAACTGTAGTAAATTTGTTTCTAAAATCTTTTTAATTTTTCAAATTATGAGAACTATACTTTTTGTCGCTAAGTAGGGTGAACCTGTCACAAAAGACCCCGCAATGCCAAGCCGCCGCAGACCATACCGTCACTACAGCATGACTGTCGCAGTCACGGTGACGGTGCGCGCCAGCCGTGTGACAGGCCAGACAGTCGCTCCGTTACTGGCGTTACTGCAGGTCCCCCGTGCTGGTCCGATCGCCACCACCACCGGTGGATGCGGTTTTGGCTTCAACTTCAAAAAGTGAAATGACGACTGCTTGTGCGGCTTGTTCGCTTGCTCATAGCGGATTGGAGCCACCCATCTCTCGGGTCACGAAGTGAGGCCGGCTCCGGCCGGGACCCTCTAAACTTGTTTCTGGCGCTTCCCCCTGCCGCTGCAGGCCCTGCTGCTGCAGGGCACCCGTGACCGTGAATG